TACAGAACTGGGGTACAGGCCAGAGATGCGGAGGGTGAGAGGATTCACCAGAGACAGAGTTGGGAGCAGAACAGGCAGATGAGCGAAGTACACTGCTGAGGGGAGCAGCGGGCGGGCCAGGAGAGGTCTGCCACGCCATGTGGTCACCTCCGGGGCAGGCAGGAATCGAACTCGTGCGGAAGTGGCTTTAGCTTCCCAGTGCTGTGCTTTAACCCACTGCACCACTGGGGAGGGTCAGTTTAATTTTTTTTAAAGATTTATATTTTTATGCATACAGAACTGGGGTATAGGCCAAAGGTGCAGGGGTGGTGAGAGGATTCGCCAGAGCCAGAGTGAGGACCAGAACAGGCAGACTGAGGAAGTACACTGCTGAGGGGAGCAGCGGGCGAGATGGGAGAGGTCTGCTGCTCCATGTGGGTCAGCTCCAGGGCACGGGATGGAACTTGCCCTGAAGCAGCTGCAGCTAGCTTACAGTGCTATGCTTTAGCCAGGGAGGGTCTCTTCATTTATTTTTAATTCTTATAGGCACTTTGAAGTTATAATAAGCAGCGTTGTCCCTATTTTTCAAATGAAAGGACTTGAATGTTCTATTTACTGACTTAATTTTGGTTAGTAAGTTACCGTGTAGCGTGACTACACAGTGTGAAATCTGCAACTCCTGTTTTCCACACTGTTGCCCTTCCTCCTTTAAACATGTTTATGTTAAGGTCAACAAAATTGCTGACCTTTTCTCAGTATCTGGGTACAGTTCTCCACAGTGGTATGACTGTAGTATTTTTGGACAATGTACTACAAGAAAAATGGTAAGCAAAAAAAGACCTTATTTTCCTTCCATGACCAGTGAAAGTCTTTATGTTCTAATAGAGTTTATTTAACTGTAAATTCATTTAACAGTACTATCTAATGATACTTGTAATTTTATACCATATTAATTTAACAGTCTTTATTAGTCAAACGCTTAATACATTCTGTGATGGCTATTAAAAGCCAATGAAAATGATAAAAGGGATTTGTAGTTACTGCGTAATACTTTGGGCTTATTGGTAAGTCATATTGCTATTATCAAAACAAGTGCAATATTTAACATGGGCCATTGGAAAGATGCTATTGGATTAGGTGGTGTTTAATTCAGGCATCTAGGAAAAATGGCAGAAAGCTATATACAAACATGATTAAGCTTAGTTTCTTGCTGAGAACTGCCTGTTTGTATAAAGCGTAAGATTTTGTCTTATGATGGCCATATTGTCAAACATAAGTTAGAAAATATTTTGTTTTGTTGTAGTAATTGTATTGTAGTATTTAATGACTGGGTTTGATAACATCTATGAAGCTGTTAAAGCATTTGGTTAATGTCCCATATAACCATTTTACAGTTTGAAAAATTCTGAAATTCTAAGAAAAGTTTTAGATTAGATTCTTAGCTAATTCCATTATAAATGTTTTATGATAATGTCAAATGATCTTGTTTTCTGTCTTATAGAAAAAGACTGACTTATAAAGCATTCACAATATACCATATTATTTTTATTTTCAGGTTTAACTTGTACAGAACAAAATTTTATATCTAAATCTGGTTATCATCAAGCTGCCTCAGAACATGGCCTTGTCGTCATTGCTCCAGATACCAGTCCTCGTAAGTGTTCTTCTTCCAGAGATACTTTTTTTCCCAGAGATACTTTGTAAAAATATAAATCTCTGAGTTATAAGTGATATAATACATACATTACACAATTCATCTCATATTTTTTTTTACTGTCTTCATCTTTCAAGTGACATGACAACAAAATACTTTCCTATGAATTTTACTCATGACAATGTTCTGTTAAGGGACATTATTGATACTCCCACTTTATAGATTGAGGTACTTCAAAATAGAATTGGGCATCTTGTTTAATATATCACATGGGCACTAGTGTTGAAATAACATACAGTTTGTGATAATTTTTTTTCTATTCCATAAAGTTTCTTTACTAATTTATAATTATATCTTATTTCTGTTAATCATCAACCATACAGCTAAGCAAGTTTTAATATAAAAATGTGCTAATGTTAACATCAAAGTACAAAATAATACCTGAGAATAAACTTTTTTTTTTTTAAAGATTTATTTATTTATTCGTACAGAACTGGGGTACAGGCCAGAGATGCGGAGGGTGAGAGGATTCACCAGAGACAGAGTTGGGAGCAGAACAGGCAGATGAGCGAAGTACACTGCTGAGGGGAGCAGCGGGCAGGTCAGGAGAGGTCTGCCTCGCCATGTGGTTGCCTTCCAGGGCAGGCGGGAATCGAACTCATGCGGAGGTGGCTTTAGTTTCTTAGTGCAGTGCTTTAACCCGCTGCACCACCAGGGAGCGCCGAGAATAAACTTTTAATAAAATGTATTTGTAGTTTTAAATCTGTAAAATGTATTCAAATATAAATGATGTTGATAAATAGAAAAATGCCATGGTCCTAGATGTGTAGACTGAATATTCTGAGGAAGTCATTTCCCTCAAATTGATAGGCATGTTATTGTAATGGCACTTAAAATCTCAGTGGTTGATATTTTAACTACATGCAAATACAGAAAATGAAACTAAATAAACAAAAAAAGAATGTAGGAGAAATCCAGTGGGATATAGGTAAGTAGGGGAAACATGTTGGAATAATTCCAAAGCTTATAAGGAGACATTTTTAGTTCAGTATAGAGAACTGAACATACACTTGTCTCCCTTACCTTCTAAGACTATCAATAGACCTTCTAGGCTATAAATACAACTTCGAGACCATAAATAGAATTAAAGAAGTGGTAGTAACAAGAGATGGTCATGCGGATCAGAATCTCAACACATTTCTTTTTTTCTTTTTGTTTTTATTGAGGAAACAGTTTACAACATTGTATAGGTTCTCCCCCTCAGTATTTTAACATGCCCATCACCAAATATCCAGTCACTATATACCACCAACTAACCATTCTCCTGCATTCGTTACCAGCTCTCCTTCCCTGATTCTACAAACAACCATTCTATTGTCAGAGTCTAAGGATTTGTTTTTTTGACACATTTCTGAAAGGCAAAGGAGGATATACAGCCTTTGACAGGTAAAACAGCATGAGGAGGATACATGTACTTTACCTTGGCAGTGAATCTGTAGCCTGGAAGTTCATTCCCTCACTGACTAGTCACATGTCTCTATTCAGGAACAGGAGAGTTGGGAAGTATGTACCCCAGAAGACAGCGAACCTATTGATAATTGATGAACAGCTCTAATGTAGATGAACTTTCTGATTCATTTTAAAGTGTGTTATGAAACATGGCTGTTACTGTGGAGTAGATGAAACCACATAAACTTTCTTTGACAGGTGGCTGTAATATTAAAGGAGAAGAAGAGAGCTGGGACTTTGGTACTGGAGCTGGGTTTTATGTAGATGCCACTGAAAATCCTTGGAAAACTAACTACAGAATGTACTCTTATGTAACAGAGGAGGTAATTTTATTCTATTTCTAACATAATTTTAATAATTGCATAATATTTTGCATATGGTGAGTTTACTTTTTCCTAAGTTAGATGTTTATGTTTTTATTTACCATAATTAATAATTGTGTTATCTTTGTATACAATTTTCCCTTACTTGGTACTTGTCCCTAAGAATAGATTACAAAAAAGGAAATGACTAGGACAAAAGTTAAGAATATTTTTTTTTTTTTTAAAGATTTATTTATTTATTCATACAGAACTGGGGTACAGGCCAGAGGCTCAGGGACGGTGAGAGGCTTCACCAGAGACAGAGTGGGGAGTAGAACAGGCAGATTGACGAAGTACACTGCTGAGGGGAGCAGCGGGCGGGTCAGGACAGGTCTGGCTCGCCATGTGGTCTCCTCCGGGGCAGGTATGGAATCGAACTCATGCGGAAGTGGCTTCAGATTCTCAGTGCTGTGCTTTAACCCGCTGCGCCACCAGGAAAAGTTAAGAATATTTTAAAGGTTCTTTCTGTGTCATGTTTCCAAAGATGTTTTCTAAGGAAGATATACTGTGTATCCTACAGATACATTAATAACCATTGCCTACTTGAATTTTTTTCTTAAAGATTTATTTATTTATGCATACAGAACTGGGGTACAGGTCAGAGGTGTGCGGGGTGAGAGGATTCACCAGAGACAGAGTGGGGCATAGACCACAGGCAGATAACACTACAGAGGGGAGCAGTGAGTGGGTCAGGAGAGGTCTATATGCCATGTGGGTCACCTCCCTGGCCTGGGATCGAACTTGGTGCTGCAGTCACTGCAATAGTTTCATAATGCTATGCTTTGACCACCAGGGAGGGCCCGTCTACTTGAATTTTTTAAATCTTCAAACTATTTTAAACTTCATTTGGAAATATTAATTGTAATTATTTTATATAGTTTTTCAAAAAGTGTAAACATGAACATTTATTTCATAGTTTTTGTTCTACTGTTAAATTCTTTCTAGCTTCCCCAACTGATAAATACCAATTTTCCAGTGGATCCTCAAAGGATGTCAATTTTTGGCCACTCCATGGGAGGCCATGGAGCTCTGATTTGTGCTTTGAAGAATCCGGGAAAATACAAAGTAAGATTATTTAAGCTACAGTGACCAATATTTCTCTTGGATAATAAAATATTAGGAATTTTCAAAGACTGAAATTAGGATTTTGTTACTTCAGTATTGATACTAGACTTTCCTAGTATTGGGAATTTCAAGGAGGTGGGGGAGAGGAATATTAAGTTTGACTATTCAATATATGCTACACAATTACAAGTATAGGAATTCTAGCATGGTGGTTTCTTGTTGGTTTTTAATAGTATTATAAAAAGTCTTCTATTTCCTTTTTTTTTTACATTTCTTTTTTAAGATTTATTATGCATACAGAACTGGGGTACAAGCCAGAGGTGCAGGGGAGGTGAGAGGATTCACCAGAGACAGAGTGGGGGGCAGAACAGGCAGAGAGACGAAGTACACTGCTGACAGGGTCAGTGGGCTGATCAGGAAAGGTCTGCCCTGGCCCTGTGGATCACTTTGGGGGCAGGGGATCATACTCACGCTGAAGCAGCTGTGCTAGCTTGCAGTGCTGTGTCCTAACCCGTTGTGCCACCAGGGAGGGCCAATATCTTTTCATTATTTTATTCAAACTAGTTTTCCATACATTTTTTCCCAAAGGTTATTTTTGGTCATTACTATGCAGTATGTATTTACTTACACATTTTATCAGGAATAACGTTGTAAAGCTGGCTTTGATTTTCTGAGGTAGAAGATATGCATGATTTGTAAAATTTAAATTCTCTATTTTTTTTTTTTTAAGATTTATTTATTTATTCATACAGAACTGGGGTACAGGCCAGAGATGCGGAGGGTGAAAGGATTCACCAGAGACAGAGTGGGGAGCAGAACAGGCAGATCAATGAAGTACACTGCTGAGGGGAGTAGCAGGCTGGTCAGGAGAGGTCTGCCACGCCATGTGGATCTCCTCCAGGGCAGGCAGGGAATGAACTCATGCAGAAGTTGCTTAAGCTTCTTAGTGCTGTGCTTTAACCCGCTGCGCCACCAGGGAGGGCTGTAATTCTCTATTCTTAATGCATCTGATGAATATTGGAAAGCAGGTTGATTGCCAAATACTACTATCAGCTTTCCCATTTATTCATTTGAAATTTTATAGCTGTACATTTTTTTTTTGATTCAGTGAACCAAGGTGGATTGAGTATCATATGTAGTATACTGTGTAAAGCAGTATAGCATTGTGTTAAGGAAAACATGTTGTAGCAATGATCATCTTATAATTGCTTCTGTTTTTAAAATCACAGAGCTATCAGAAACCTAGAATTTCTTTAATCCAGTTCTGTCCCATCAGAGGAAGTTCTAAATCATGTCAGGTGTGCCACTGAGAAATGAAAATATTTTTTTATGGCAGTTTTTTGCTGTGGCACTAAATATTTTTTTAAAGGTTTATTTATTTATGCATCTAGAACTGAGGTACAGGCCAGAGGTGCAGGTGTGGTGAAAGGACCCACCAGAGACAGAGTGGGAAGCAGAACAGGCAGGTTGACAAAGTACACTCCTGAGGGGAGTAGCGGGTGAGATCAGAGGTCTGCTGCATGTGTGGGTCACCTTCCAGGCTTGGGATTGAACTCTTGTTAAGGGCTGTGGCTGGCTTCGTAGTGTTGCTCTCCAACCCATTGCATCACCAGGGCGGGCCCTAAGTATTTTTCTTTGGAAAGCCTTATTATAAAGTTGAACCTTAATTCATGTATGTCATGACACTCATTTTTTTGTAATAGGGTTTATTTTCTATTTTTTTTTACATAAAACAATCAATTTATTGTGTGTAAGGGAGAAGAACAAATTTGGTTGAAATTTTAGTCTTTTCAAATAGTTATAAAAGGGAAATTGTAAATCAGAGTTTATAAGGCAGCTATAAACAACTTCTAAATTTTTAAACAAGTTGCAAAGATCTGCTTATATTTGATTTGGCAAAATATAACATGTTTTTAAATATCCTTTGTTTCTAAAGTCTGTGTCAGCCTTTGCTCCAATTTGTAACCCAGTGCTCTGTCCTTGGGGTAAAAAAGCCTTTGGTGGATATTTGGGAACAGATGAAAGTAAATGGAAGGTAGGTATTGGATGACTGTCTAACTACTCATTCTTAAATTTTCTTATTTACTAATCAATGTTCACTACAGTCATTATATGTCTAGTTCTTCCAAATTAAGGATACATTGCTAAAAATATTTTTTTAATTCCCACAGTATACTAATTGTGTGAAAATTATGGCAGATAGCTGAGACTTTTTTCCCTGCTAATGGCTAATGTTTATTTCTAAATTAATATTAGCAGAAAATGCTACCTATTATTACTTAATTTAGACTTACCTGTTAACTATATTATACACTCAGTTGTAAGAGCCATAAAACGTGGATTTTTAATTATTTTATCTAGCTGTTTCAAAATTCATCATCTGTGAGATTTGGTTTATTATACATTTATGTAAATATTCTTTTTTTAAAAATGATTTAGTCATTTATGCCTCTGAGAATTGGGGTCCTGGCCAGCGGTGCAGGGGTGTGAGAGGATTCACCACAAAGCAGGGACTAGAACAGGTAGAGTGACTGAAATACACTGCCAAGATGAGCATGGACAAGACAAAAGAGGTCTCCTTTGGGTCACCTCCCTCGGAGGGTCAAACTCACCCTGTGGTGGCTTCAGATAGCTTCATAGTGCTGCGCTTTAACTCATTGAGCCACCAGGGAAGGCCCTGTTTTGCTTTCTCATGCATAGGACCATATTCTTTACAATCACATTAGTAGAGTGCAGGAAATAATGAATATTTAGATACTTGAAAACTGACAGTGCACATACATTGGTGTCTTGAGTCCTCGCCTAATGCAGATTCCGAGTTTTAAGATCTCATGTCAGGGAGTTGGTGATGTTTTCCTATTCATAGGAGCTTAGGGCCTAATAGAAAATTTGAGTAACAGTAACCTATAAAGGAAGCTAATCATAAAATTTTTCTCCAACTGTCAGATTTTACCCCTTTCATTTTGCTATGTTAAGACTTCTGTTATTAACTGAATAAATACATCATGCAGAATTATGAAATCATGGAACTTAGAACTAGCTGGACTTTATAGCTCCCACTTCCCTCTCTTTTTAAAGTAAAGAAAATTTAAAAATGTGCTACTTAGGAGAGACAATATTTTGGTTTCTGTTTGTCTTGATTGATACATGAAATTTATGATTAGTGAATATATAAATGAATGATAAGTATATTCATTGGTGAATGATAATATATAAAATTGTAACATGGGGTTTCCTCACATGATAAATTTGAGTTGTTATATGATTCAGATTTATTCAAATCAAGTCTTCCTTAAAATACGTGGGGGGTGCAGGCAACTGTTGCTGTTCAGTAGAGAGCCAAAGAGAGGGCTGAATGTATTTGTGTCTGAAATTACAGGCAAAACAAAAAAGGCCAAAAGAAAAAAAAAAGCTATTTCATTGAAATAGAGAATATTTAGAAGTAGAAAAGTTAGAAAGTTAGAGGAAATCATTTTTGGAGGGATTTTCAAAGAGAAAAATTTTATCTTTTTTGGAACATTTAAGGTTTATTTATTTAATAATTTGTTTATGGAAGTGGCATTGAATTACAGAATTTTATAAGCTTCAGGTATGGATAATGATCCATAAATCAGTGTCTGTTTATATACTACATTAAGTACACTAACTAAAAGTCCAAGTCTGTCCTTCACCTTGACCCTTTATACCTGACTTACTCCCCTCTACCCCCTCTCCTTCTGGTAACCACTAGTTTAAAAACCATAAGGGTTTAGAACAGAAAAGGCTACACTAAGAAGGATGCTTGAGATACAGGATTCACTCATTTAAAACTGCTTTGAAGTAAGGAATAGGCTGTAATTGGGAGATTGAGTTCTGAGGCCCTTACAAATAAAAGCCAGGTATGTCAGATTTTAATCCAACTTAAAAAAAAAATATTCAACTTTCTGAGTTACTCAGCCTTAGGCCTTAAATAATTTTAAATTTCTGTTTGGTTATAGAATAGAATCTGAAGAGTATTTGTCTGAGCACCTTTAATTTTTTTTTTTTTTCCCCCGATATTTCCTCTCTCTAGGCTTATGATGCTACTCATCTTGTGAAGTCTTACCCAGGTTCTCAGCTGGACATTCTAATTGACCAAGGAAAAGATGACCAGTTTCTTTCAGATGGACAGTTACTGCCTGACAACTTCATAGCTGCCTGTACAGAAAAGAAAATCCCTGTTGTTTTTAGATTACAAGAGGCAAGTACTAGGAAATCTAAGTTTGTTTTCAATAACTATAAAAAATTAAATTTCTATATTTCCTTTATGATTTTAAAATGTGTGCTAGAATTTAATAATCGATAAAAGCTGTAATATAGTCTGCTATCTCCTACCCCCTTCTCCTCTTTGCCTTCTTCAACCATATTCTGGCTCTCCTTAATTTTATTTTGGAAGTTGATTGATTTTATTATCATATTAAGGCTTATTCCTATTAAGTTAATGACATCTAAGACAATAGAAATTTTCATAGAAATAGGAAAGCTTTTAGGAGTGAAAAGTACATCAGTTTTCTGTTTTACTATAAAACCAGTAAGTAAACTTCGTGCTTGAGCAGTACTTAATTTTCACCATTAACAGGTATATCTTTTTGTATATGAGAAACTTTTTTGTAGTGGAATAAAAATAACACCTTGCATCGTAATTACTTCTCACATTGTTTATATCTTAACTTCAGAAACGGATTTTTCTCACACACGTACACTTTATATTACTTGATTTAGATGCTAATCTAGTCTTTGTACTACTTGTTATTTCTAGTTATTTAAGAATAATTACCAGCTTTCAATTGGCTTGCAATTTTTTTTTACATAAATGATCTTTATTATCCACTACTCAACCAACTTCATGCTCTTGGTAGTTATAATTTAAGAAATTCTGCTTTTTGAAAGTATTCTTAAAGTTTCATTATAAAATATAAACAAAATCTTTATTTCAGAATGGAAACTACACACTGAAAATTATACACATTGTGATTTTCAAAAACATTTTCACGTTTAATGGCAATGTGTCCACTATAGTTATCTAAAACATAATGATAATTATAAATAGTGAAATAACTTGATCAAAATGTACACTGTGGTACATTACAGTTTACAAAATGTTTTTACAACATTAGCTTATTTTATCCTTATATAACTAAATGAGTGATTATTTCTTTCATGTTCATGTGATTTGTTGTTTTTAATTTTCAATTTGTTTTAGCTGGTAAAATACACATAAAATATACCAGCTTAATTAATTATTTTTATTTGTACAGCTTAGTGGTATTGCATGCATCCTAATGTGCAGCCATCACATGACTCTTGTCATTTTGTAAAATTGAAATTCTACACTTCCAAAAGTCACCTTCCCTTACCCCAGTCTTGGCAACAACCATTCTTTCTACTCTTATGATTTGGCTGCTATAAATGTCTTAAATAAGAGAGTCAAATACGGTATTTGTCCTTTTGTGACTGTCATGTTTCATATAGTATAATATTTTGAAGGATAATCCAGATTATAGCATGTGTGGGGATTTTTCTTTTTTAAGGCTGAATAATATTCCAGTGTATATCTGTACCACGTTTTACTCATCCAGTCACCTGATAATGAGCTCTTGGGTTGTTCATATGTTTTAGCCATAATGCTATTAAATACAGAAGTGTATGTACATCTCTTTGAGACCCTGCTTGCAGTTCAATTCCTGAACTGAACTGAATTCAGTAGAATTACTGAATCATACGCCAATTACACTTTTAATTTTTTGAGTAACGTCCGTGCTGATTCTGTCTGGCTCTGTCATTTTACATTTCCATCAACAGATTCCAGCTTCCCCACATCCTCATCAACACATTTTTTTTTCTGACATTTTTTGATAGTAGCTATCCTAGTCGAATGAGTCGATGTCTCATTGTGGTTTTGATTCATATGTCCCCAGTGATTAGTGATGTTGAACAAATTTTTTTGTGCTTATTGGTCATTTATATATTTTTTCAGAAATGTCCATTTTAATTTGGTTTACTTTTTATAGTTATCAGTTCTCTATATTCTAAGTAGTAATTCCATACAGATAAATATTTGCAAATATTTTCTTCCATAGGTTACATTTTACTCGATGTTGACTTTGAGTGCCCTTTTTTTTTTTTTGTTAATGTTCATGAAGTCCAATTTAACTGTTTTTTTCCATTGTTCTCTATGCCTTTGGCGTTATAGCTAAGAAATTGACTGGTCCAATATTGAGCTTTTGTGTTATGTTTGTTGAAGATCCAAATTATTTTCTTTACATGTAGATATCCTGTTTTCTCAGCTCTGTTTGTTGAATACTGACCTTTTACATTCTTGTCAAAAATAATTTGATGGTATTTGCAAATTTTTATTTCTAACTATTATTTAACCATCAGTAGTGGGTTTCTTTGTTTTGGTCTTTTCTTAAAGGAAAGGTTTTGGGATTTCACCATTAAGTGACTTTTCACATATTATTCATCCAGTTTCTGTTGTTGAGAAGACAGAATCAGAGAATTTACCTATATCTGAAGTCACACTAGTAGTTTATGGAGAAACAGAACTAGAGGCAAGATCATGTGACTATACTGTCCGCTGTTCCTTCCCTCTGTTTAGCCATTCCTAAGCAAGATGACCAGTGCTCTGAAAAACAAAGCGATGTAAACAAAGTAGCAAAAGGAAAAATTGTGTATAATCTGCTACCTACCTAACTTACATAGAAAATTTTAACAAATCTCCATCTTTTAATTGATATTTAGAACATTCAAACAATGGGTGTATCTATATAACATAGAAAATCATGTTAAAAAACAGTACCTTGTTGTCTTTTAGTATCCTTTTTTAAAAAAGATTTATTTATTCATACAGAAGTAGGGTACAAGCCAAAGGTGCAGGAGTGGTGAGAGGTTTCACCAGAGATAGAGTGGGGAGCAGAACAGGCAGATCAATGAAGTCCACTGCTGAGGGGAGCAGCAAGTGAGTCAGGAGAGGTCTGCCATGCCATGTGGGTCACCTCTGGGGCCCAGGATCGAACTTGCACTGAAGCAGCCACGCTAGCTTGCAGTGCTGCACCACCAGGGAGATCCCTTAATATCCATTCTTAAGTAATGAAATTACTATAGATTATTTTGAGCATGAAATGCACGCTTTAGATCAATAACTGACTTAGTAAATCAAAACACTAATTTGGTTATAAATGAGTAAGTGCATTTAATTATATTAACTGTAGTTATAAATGTTACATAACAAACCTTGTTTTTCCCCAAAATGACTTTTACATCTTAATATTAGCCATGCTGGTTTCCCTTCTGTGTCCCTTGAGGCTAAACCAGGAAATTCTGTTTTACTGACAACAATGTTTTTTAACAGACTGAAAAATCTCTGGAGTTCATTATAAAAATGGCATAATTAGAACACTGATGAAATTCTTGGAGGGAAAAATAAATCACCTTATTTCTACAATGCCCACATCCCAAACAACTGAAAACTTAGGTGACTGTACTTAATGAAGAGTCAAGACAGTATATTCATTTCTTTAAAAAATGGGAGGAAATATTGAAATGACCAATAACAATCTTAGCTTAGACACAGTTTTCTGTTACATTCCTTCCAACAAGATCATGTGAACGTTCAAGCCAACTTCCATTGACCTCAGATTATCTCAGGACTGAGAGTTTTATCAGCTGTTTTATAGTTTGACTACAAATACAAGTACAGTCTGATTATCTCAGATCTGAGAGTTTTATTATCTGCTTTATTGTTTTATTATAAGTATAGTGTAAGTATTTTCTCCTGAAATGGGAGCTGTGAAATAAATTAGTTAAAGCTTTGAAGAAGTAAGTTAGGGTGTGTGTGTGTGTATGAGAGAGAGAAAGAGAGAGATTCAAATTGGAACAATTTATTACAGTCATGTTCATGTACATGTTTTTCCCAACTCCTTCATTTGAGTCTTTTTAGTGATGTTAATATGCTCACCATCTATTCTGTCCTCTTTCAACTGTCTAAAAGATTGAGAAAGAAAGGACAGTACTTGGGGTTATTTGGTTGCTATATCATATAGTTTTTCTGTTTCTGTTCGATTTCGGCAGATCTGAAGTGAAAAAGCACCAAGTAGCAGAATTCTCCTTACATACATAGTTAGATAACTATGAAGAGGAAAGGCTTAATTTGTCTACTTTTCACTTACTGAAGTTACATAATGAGGTTAAAAATTGAGTAACCAAATAGTGAGGAAATTTTAAGAAACAACCTCTTCTTGGAGATTTAGAAGTAAAGGTTTACTCTCTGCTCCAGTTACATTCTTGTTAAAGATTCAGAATCTATTTTCAGTTCTTTTTGTGCCTATATCTTTTAGGAAAGAGTCAGAGCCAGAAGAGAATTACAGAAATGCAAACATCTCTCACTCATCTCTGTATCTCCAGGCTTAGCCTGATTGCCTAGCATAGAATCTCAAGAGGTGCTCAATGAGTGTCTGTCTTTCAACAGTCTTCTTTTTTGTGTTCTGGAGATACTTAGTAACTGGGAATTCATACTTTTCTAGTTGATTCTGTAAAGAAATCCTGCCTTATACAATAAATGTTCCTTATAGCTACTGAAAGAGCACTGCTGCTTTTTTTCAGAATTGACTGAAGAATGGAAGAATAGATTCATTTATTTTTATTTTGTGTCAAGAGTTTTGCTATGGATGATTTTTTCGTTTAAACTGTGATAAAGAGGAGGAAAGTAAATGTGATTGAACAAAGCTGCTTAACATACCAGACCAACTCAAGGAATTTAATGAAAGAAGCCACTCCTCCTTAATAACATTGATAGATTTTGAAACTAATCAAGAATGACATACTTAGCTCTAATTATATAAGCATCTTCTATTTATCAAAACAATATTAATTCACATGTGTTCTCTTTATGTTGATATTTTAAATTTTCTTGGTCCCTACTACCTTGCATTTTCTATTTTCTCATAAAGGTGGATCTTTTATTAAAAATAATTATGGAACTTAGGAACATTTGCTTTGTATTTCAGATAAAATGCATTGAAATAGTGCATTTCATAGTGCAGTTTTGAAAGTTCAAATTGTTTCTTGTTTTACCCTGGAACTTCTCTAATAAACTAATAACTAATATTAATAGTGACAGCAATAATAATGGTCGCTACCCAGTATGTATCTGAAACTGCAAAGCATTTGATACACAAAACCAAGCATAAAAGTACAGGGTATCCAGTTACATTAGGATCTTTGTCATGTAAATCATTCCTTTCTATCAGATCTATCCTTTTTCTGTGTGTGTGTAGAAAAATTGGGAGGTACTGCTTAGTACTAGATGTCACAGGTTTTGTGACCTGGAAATCATGGGTCTGTTTAACCTCTTACGAATGAAATGGATGGAAATTCTTTTCTAGTAGTTCTTCATATAAGACTATTCTTCATCTATAAATTTAATAATAAACTGACACTTGTGTAGTCACTAAAAGGTATGAAATAAAATAATTACAAAAGCTAAGCCTTAATTTTGACGAGATTTGTATCAGATTTACTTCTGTGACTCGGCCACAGAAAATAGAAAACAGATTGTAAGTTACTTTGATAACTTTAAACAAGAATGTTTTTTTTTGTTTGTTTTTTAAAGATTTATTTTTTCATACAGAACTGGGGTACAGGCCAGACATGTGGAGGGTGAGAGGATTCAGCAGGGACAGAGTGGGGAGCAGAACAGGCAGATGGATGAAGTACACTGCTGAGGGGAGCAGCGGGCGGGTCAAGAGAGGTCTGCCACGCCATGTGGTCACCTCCGGGGCAGGTGGGAATCAAACTCGTGTGGAAGTGGCTTTAGCTTCTTAGTGCTGTGCTTTAACCCGCTGTGCCACCAGGGAGGGCCAAACAAGAATGTTTTATTAACTGCTGTTCCCAAAATACAAAGTGTATAACTCTGGAAGTCAGAGATTGAGAATGTTTACTAATTCATTAAAACTTGAAGAATTTACCTTGTTCCTGAAGCTCAGGTGATACTCTTGTGTGATGTGTTTTTGTTTAAGTAGTTAAAAAATTGCATTTTCTCCCATCAGATACCAACTTTATCAGAGTCAGTAGCTGAAATTTTATATCATTAAAATTCTCTAGTCCCCCTGGTATGTTGGGAAGAAGGGCAGTCCCCCAGTTTACTGGTGTTAAAGCCCTTATAAAGCTCTTTGCATTTTATTTATTTATTTTTTTTTTCCTTTGAAAACTACATCTTATTTTCTACTTGGAGGGCCTCCAAGGAGGGAGTGCCTCTCCATTTACCTATATCAGTGATTTTAATTGAAGGGATAGATTGAGATCTGTTTCAGCTAAACTGCTCAGCACATTACATTTCTCTCTGCTTCACTGTAGTTTTCAAGAGTTTACTGAGTTTTACCCAACTTAGGTTTATTGCTAAAGCATGTTAGGTTTTAATGAATTGTTCTTTACTGAAATAAATATGTATAGCTTACTGTGTGGGAAGTGGAATTCTTAGTGAGATTTAGGAATACTGTGTTTAAATTCCCCATGATAGAGCATTTGGACACTTTGATGTTTGCATTGTTTATATGTACTTACTTTATATTCATTATCCTATTGATTATTAGTGTGCTTGTTTTATGAGTTCAAACTTCTTTTACTTATCTCTATGCTCTCTAGATTTTGTTCTTTTAATGCTCATTATCGGACCAATGTGTTCTTTTTGCACATTAATGAAAGCATTTAGAACTAAGCTACATATAATGTAGTCTTCATATTTTGCTGCTCTTTTAAGGTACAGTGAAAATGTTGAAATACAATAAACATTTTAATTATAATCCTTCATAATATTTTAACTATGTGCAAGCAAATTAAGTAACCTATTTAGTGTGACTAATATTAATGTTTCTAAATGATAGATAAATGTTTCTTTATCTCTTCATCTTTCTCTTCTAGGGCTATGATCATAGTTACTACTTCATTGCCACCTTTATTTCTGATCACATCAGACATCATGCAAAATACCTGAATGCATGAAAAACTTCAAATAAGAAAATCATCTCTGATTATGGAAATGGTAATAAACAGAATTTTAGAGAAAAAAGATATAAAAATGTTGTTTTTCACAATACTCTTTCTAAAGTTAAATCCCCTTCTGAATAAATAATGTAAAACCTTCTGATTTAAAGAGCTATTTTACCAAAATTCACATGGGAAATTTTTCATCCTTGACAGCTTTTTTTTTTTTTTTTTTAAGATTTATGTACTTATTTATGCATACAGAACTGGGGTACATTCCAAAGGTGCAGAGTGGTAAGAGTTTCACCAGGGATAGTGGGAAGCAGAACAGGCATATTGACAGAGTACACTGTTGATGGGAGCAGCAAGCAAGACAGGAGAGATAGAGCATATGTGTGTCCCTCACCAACAAATCTATCATGAGAAATACCTCACAGAAATAAGCATATAAACCTATATAAGAATGGACATAAAAGTACTATTCATAATAACCAAAATCTGAAAACCGCAGGAGTCCCCCTCTATAATACATGGGGAAAACTAGGGTCTAATTCATATAACAGAATACATTAATGATTAATGAACACACTAGCAGCCTGGAGTCTCAACTATAACCTGGTATGAAATAATCTAGATGCAAAATATAGATCATAAAAATAATTTTGTACCCTTTCTTACAAGGTTTAAGCCAGTCAAAACTCATTAATGGTGTTCGAAGCTAGGATGATGTTACCCACAGTGGGGTTAGGGACAAGGTGCTAGGGAGAGGACTGGAGGGCAGCATAGCAGGGTTTAGGGTATTAATGATGTCCTCCTTGTTTATCTGTGTGCTCCTCATATGAGCTAATTTGCATTGAAAATGCATTGATCTTCCACTTAGAATTATGTATTTTTCATGTGTGTTATATTTCAGTGGCATTGACATTAAAAATGTAATACACAATTATTCTGTGAAGACCCTAAATGTAATTCTGCACAAAGAAGATACAACTCCTGATGTTAACAAAGAATACTTATCTGGGGGAATAAAGTCTCCAGTGGTCACATCATTTACATATTCAACTACTGTATGTCACTTAGAAACCACTTAGAAGTGAAGATGATCTGTGATACTTCAAAATAGTGACTCTAGTGATATTTCTGATTTTCATGATACAGGTGAAGACTTTGGATAAAAACTGTTGCTTTTTATTATAGTAGCAAATTTCTCAGTTAATTTTTAAAAAACATTTTTAATATATATGTTTAATAAGATGTGATGAGTAGACTGAGTTTATATTGACAAGTGTATTAACATCTCAATTACATGCAAAAGGTTTTTGGATTTGGACACAATGGACATAAATTTCATGTAACAGATAAAATTTGTTTATGGAATTTAAGAAACCAAAACCACTTTAAATTGAAGACAAAAATTGTCATCAACTTTTTAAAAGTCTTTTCATTTCAGATTGGGTTTGGGTAAGGAAAGGAAATGCCATTGGTTATTCTTCAGTGGTGAGGATAGCAACAGTGAAAAGGAGTTGATAGAGAGGGTGGATCAAATAAATAAGCAGTAACAACTGCATTTGGACATGGAAACAAAGTAAGCTGAAATTAAAATTAAGGTTGACATTTCTAAGAATGAAACTTCTAATGTAAAATGGATGAATATTAAGTAAAGAAATAGTTTTAAATTTTCTATAAATATATGACTGACAAAATTTAGGGACTCAGTTTTAACTAAAATATGTAGGATGTAATCTTAGAGGCAAAAAGAGATGTAATGAAAGTGAGGAAAACTCTGTAAAGTGTGGTGACAATTGATTTTGATTTTTAAGATTTATATATTTATGCATAGAAGAGGGGTATATGCCAGAGGGGTGCAGAATGAGAGGATTCTCCAGAGACAGAGTGGGGAGCAGAACATACTAAAAAACACGGAAATGCTAAGGGAACAGCAGGTGAGATAAGAGAGATCAGCTCTCAAGCTGGGGATTAAACTCATAGAGCAGTGGCTGCTGATAGCTTGATAGCTCTTAAACTTTGACTCCTGCACCACCAAGGAGGCCCCCTAAAGAACATGACATTTTTCATTTTTTTAAAGTTTTTTTTTTTTGAAGTAAGTTTGCATTATCACATTATATAAATTTTAGATGTGCATCACTATAAATCAGCCCCTACATACCACATTGTATATAACTAAGAGTACAATCTGAACTTCACCGTGCAGTTGACCCCTTTTACCTATTTTACCCATTTCGCTACCCCTCTGGTAGCTACTAATTTGACCTTATAGTCTAAAATTTTATTTTTCCTTTATTTAGCAGATTCATCTGTGTGCCACCTAGGTAAAATCAAGAGTGTTTGTCTTTCTATATCTGAGGTATTTTACTAAGGATGTTATCCTCTAGGTCCATTCATGATGGCAGGATTTTATCTTTTTCTTTAGAGATGAGTACTGTTCCAGTGCATATATATTACATCTTTATCCAGTCGTCTGTGAAAAGTAGAAGTAAGATACTTCTTACTTTTAGCTATTTATTGTACATACTAAAGTTAATAGAACAATGGTTTGTATATAGCTCTTTTTTTTTTTTAAGCATCCTTGTTTATTTTTTCATTGTATGAGATTTCTCCCATGAGGTGGATCACTATATTTTTTTCTACCACCAAAGTGCTCACAGCCCTCCACCACACTCTACCAGGCTTTCCTCCCCCTCTTTTCTCTAATGTCCTTGCTCCCTGCCCCTCAACCACCTCCTGAGTGTCTCAGATATACGGCTGCTTTCAAGTATCCATTTTGTAGTTTCTTTGATCCTTTGCTTGGTTTCTCTAAATTTCACATACAAGTGAAACCAACCAGTATATAACTTTCTCCATCTAGCTCACTTCACTAGAATTATGTCTTCCATTTCCATCCATGTTGCCTCAGGTCGCATGAGTTTGTCTCTCTTGATTACTGAATAGTATTCCATTGTGTGTATGTACCATGTGTTCTTGATCCACTCATCTGTGTTGGGCATTTAGTTGTTTCTCTATCTTAGCTGTTGTACATAGTGCTGCTATAGAGGATTCCTTTCAAATTAGTGTTTTTGTGTTCTTTGGGTAGGTTTCTAAGAGTGGGAAGTAATTTGTAGTCTTTTGAAGAATCACCACACTTCTTTCCAAAGGGGCTGGACTATACAAACCCTGAAAAGCCAAAGCTCTCCTGAGTAGAAAGGAAACAAAATGGAAGTATATATTAAGATTTCAAACAATACTGTAAAGCCATAATATTAAAACAACATGGTACTGGGACAAAACAGACATGCAGACCAATGGAATAGAATAAGAGCCCAGAAGTAAAACCACACATTTATAAACAACTAATCTGTGCCAAAGGAGTGAAGTATATGCATTGGAACAAGAAAAGCCTCTTGAATAAATGGTGCTGGGAAAATTGGACTGCCACATGCAAAAGGATGAAAGTAGGCAAATATCTCATGCAATTCCTGAAAATCATCTCAAAATGGATAAAAGATGTTAATGTAAGCTCTGAAACCATAACAAATATAGAGCCATAAAAAACATAGGCAAAACACTCCATGACATAAACTTCAGGAGCATCTTTGCAGACACATCTCCAGCAGCAAAGGAAACAAAAGGGAAAATAAACAACTGAGACTATATCAGACTAAAAACTTCTCTGTAAAGCAAGTGAGTAACCAAAACATATCCTACTAAATGTTTCAAACATATTTGCACACCATGCATCTGATAAAGGATTAATAGCAAAGGGCTACAATATGCTTATACAGCTCAGCATATATCTCTTTGAAATGGTATGTTTGTATTCCTAGGGTAAATACCCAGAAGTGCAATAACTAGATTACATGGAATTTCTATTTTTATTTTATTTTTCAAAAATTGATCTTTATTTTTTAATGTATTCATTACATCATCCTTCCCTTTTGCATAATGTATTATTTCCCCTTGAAATTTCCCCCACCAAATCACCCGTGCATCATCACCATAGTCCCCGTGCTTTTCCCACCCCTGTAGTGATCCTTTCCCCTCAGCCTTCCCTACAGAATGTCTGATCTGTTGTTGCTGGATGATTTTGATTTTTTACAATTCCTGGATCCTTTATTTGGTTCCTCTATATTCCTCCTATAAGTGAGACCATTTGATATTTTACTTTTTCTTTCTGGTTTATTTGAGCATAGTCACCTCCAGCTCCATCCATGTTGTCACAAATGACATGAGTTTATCCTTTTTGATTGTTGAGTAATATTCCATTGTGTACATATGCCACATCTTGATCCAGTTATCTATTTTTGGGCATTTGGGTTGCTTTATAGCTTCCTATTGTAAATTGTGCTGCAATAAACATAGGGGTGCATGTGTCCTTTTGAAATATTATTTTTGGTGTCCTTTGGGTAAATACCTAGGTGTGGAATTGCTTGATTATATGGAAGAGCTCCATTTTTAGTTTGAGAAACATCCACACAGGTTTCTATAGTGGTTGGGCCACTTTGCATTCCTACCATTATTGCAAAAGAGTTTTTCTTCATATCCTTGGTAAACAATTGTATTTTTAATATGATCATTGTCACTGGTGAATGGTGGTACTTCATTGTGGTTTTGATTTGCATTTCCTTGATTACAAATGATGTTAAACATTTTTTCATATGCTTGTTGGCCATTTGCTCTTCTTCTTTGGAAAAGTCTTTTTTTTTTAGCTCTTCTGCTCATTTTTTGACTGGGTTGTTTGTTTTGTTGAGCCTCATTAGCACCTTGTAGGCCTTTGTGGTCAGTCCCTTGTTAGTATTGTGTGCAAAAATTTTCTCCCTAAGATATATATCAATCCATGATGGTAAAACCAATTTCTACCAACAGTTAACAAAGACTATCTTTTTACCACATTCTCTCTAGACTTGTAATTTCTTGTCTTTTGGAAAATAGTCATCCTCACAGGTATGAGATGATATAGCTCACTGTTGCTTAGATTACATTTCCCACAGTAAGAGATAGTACCAGCTTTTCATGTGCCTATTGGGTAGCTGTATGTCTTTTTTTTTTTTTTTTT